GGCCGCTATGGGGCCGTGGGGCCGCCGTGGGGCGGCGGAGCCGGAGCCGCCATCGCCCCTTAATTGCTTCCATCTGCGGGCGAGGAGGCGCCGGAGGGGGAACAGCGGCGATGGGAGGGGTGGGGGAACGGACACAAGCACCGGGAGCGAGCCCCCCCATCCCAACCCCGGCCCCAGGGACACCCCTTAACCCCGGCCCCATGGCCCAGCGACCCCCATGGCCCCGGTTATCGGGGCGGGGGGGACCCGAAGTCCCGGGGTGGGGATGGGCGGAGGCCCCCGGGAAAAGGGGAACTGGGGGGGGCCGTGTCCATGGGGCTGGACACGGAGATGGAGACACGGGGGGGGGGATGATGGGGGGTGCCCTGTCGCTGACTCTGTCCTTCCGCCCCCCCAGGCAGGGGCCATGGCTCAGGTCCTGCCAGTGGATGCGTTCCCAGGTGAGGGGCTGGGGGGGTCCCTGCAGCCATGGGGCTGATGGGGAGGGGGCCCTGGGTATCGCGTGGGGCTGAGGTCAATGGAGGGGGGGGGCGTCCCTGGGTCCGCATTAAGGTGGGGGATGGGCTTGATGGGGTGCGGAATCTTGGACTCCTGATTCTATTGGGGGCAGGGAGAGGGTCCCAGGTTGGGATGTGGGGGGCACCGGTTGCGCTATGGGGGGGTCCCGCTACTGGGGGGTCCCAGAGTGGGGCTGGTCCTGATTGCTCTATGGGGGGGTCCTGCAGTGGGGGGGTCCCCCTATGGGGGCTCCTGCTGCGGTGCCGGTGCCGCTGTCACGGGGCTCCCTCCAGGTCGCCGCCGGTCGGGGTCGGCAGCGTCGGTTGCGGTCCCGGGGGAGGCCCGGTACTCGCTGGAGACGGCGTACGGGTACCGGCTGGACTTGGGCTTCCTGGGCTACGTGGAGGCCATCGAGCAGGGGCTGACGCTGCGGCGGCTGCCGGGGCAGCGGCGGCTGCACCGCGCATCCTGGGCCGGCGGCAGTGGTGGAGGGGGCCGGGAACCAGAGCCCCGGGCCCGGCTTCGGTCAGGGGCAGGGGGGGGTCCCGAGGAGGAGGAGGCCGGGGTGGGCCCGGCGGCGCTGCGGGGGGTGCGGGCACAGATGGCGGCGGCGCTGGGGCGGCTGCGGGAGCTGGAGGAGCAGGTCCGGGCCCTGCCCGCGCTGCGGCGCCGCCTCGAGCGGCTCCAGGAGGAGAAGCGGCTGCTGCTGGAGCGGCTCCGGAGCCACCACGGCTGCGCCTGCAGCCACGGGGATGGAGCCGAAGACGGGGATGGAGGCATCGAGGGCACCGGGATCGGCTCTGGCAACACCGGGATCACCTCTGGCAAAACCGGGATTGATCCCAGCATCACCGGGATTGGCTCCAGCATCGCCAGGATCAGCTCCGGCATCACCGGGATTGACCCTGGCATCACCGGGATTGGCTCTGGCATCACTAGGATTGATCCCAGCATCACCGGGATCAGCTCCGACATCACCGAGATTGACACCGGCACCACCAGGATTGGCTCCAGCATCACCGGGATCGGCTCCGGCATCCCTGGATCTGGTGGTGGTACTGGGATTGGCTCTGGTGTCACCAGCTCTATCACCAGCATTGGGATCATCAGGTCTGGCATCACCAGATCTATTGCTGGTACTGGGACTGGCTCTGGCATCACCAGCTCCAGCACCAGCACCAGGATGGGCTCGGGTTCCATCACCAGCACTGGGATTGGCTCCAGCATCACCGGCTCCATCCCTGACAACCGGATCAGCACCAGCTCCATCCCCAGCACCAGGATCAGTTCCAGCTCCATCCCCGACACCAGGATCAGCCCCAGCTCCGTCACCAGCACTGGCATCAGCTCCGGCATCGCAGGGATCGGCTCCGGCTCCATGCCCAGCCCCGGTCGGGCGCTGGCGTTGCCACGGGGGCGCCGCTCGGTGGCCGTGGGCACGGACGGGGCCGTGGCGTTGCCAGGACGGGTGGCGGAGCTGGAGCAGCGCCTGCGCCGGGCACTGGAGGAGCTGCGGGAGGCCCGGGCCCAGCTGGGACAGCGTGAGCAGAACAGGGGCACGGGATGGGGGATATGGGATATGGACATGGACACGGGTGGGGGATAGGGAATAGGGGATATGGGATACAGATACAGGACACGGAACAAGGGATATGGGACATAGGCATGGGTTATGGGATGTGAACACGGGATATGGGATAGGGGATATGGACATGGAATATAGGACACAGACATGGAATACAGGATATGGGACATGAACATGGGATATGGGATGCGGACATGGGATATGGGATATAGAATGTGGGATATGGGACATGGATCTGGCATATGGGATCTGGGGGGCTCCAGCCTCACCCCGCCCCCCATCTCCTAGAGCCGCCAGGTGAAGCCAATGGAGCCGAAGGCGATGGAGACCCCCCCGGGGGGGGCAGCAGCAGGTGGGGGGGCTGAATGGGGGCAGGCTTGGGGTCACGGGGTGGGGGATGGGGCAGGTTTGGGGTCCTCTCACCCCCTTTTCCCTCCCCCAGCTCCTCTGATGACAGCGAGTACCATGAGGCGGAGGAGGGGTGAGACCCGCCCACACGTGTGTGACACGTGCCCCCCCCCCCCGTGCATCACGTGACCTCTTCCATGTGTGTTCCAGCCACCCCCAGGTCCCTGCGGTGCCACATGACATTGCGTGACGTCATACGAGAGCCTCGTTACGTCACAGGACACCCTGTGACATCATCACCCTGCATTCCCCACCACCCCCTTTTTGGTATGTTCCCCCACCAATAAAGCACCTCCAGACACCAGGACCCACAACCGGGGGCACTTGGGGGTCGGGGAGGGGGGGAAGGAGGAGGCAGCACAAGGGAGGGAAATAAATAACCCCTGTATTTGTCATGGGGGGCTCCATCGCCACAGGGCCCTCCCACCCCCCTCCCCCCCCAAGGCCACGTTTTGGGTTCAGTTTCACAGTTTTTGGTTCAAAGCAGCACCTGCTGCGTGTGCACACGTGTGCTGGCGTGCAGAGCCCGTGTGTGCCACCGGTGCCCCGTGTTGAGGCGTGCGCAGCATCACGCACAAACACGCGTGGTCCAGGCTGGCCACATCCAACCGCATCCAACCACATGTGACCACATACAACCACATGTGACCACATACAACCACATGTGACCACATACGACCACATACATGAACACAACCGCATCCAGCCACATCCAACCACATTTGACCGCATCCAACCACATATGACCACATCCAACAACATACGACCACATGTGACCACATACAACCACATGTGACCACATACGAGCAGGTCCAGCCCCGCACATGCGTGGCCGTGCCCTGGCGCTGGGGAACACGCATGACCGCGCGGTGCCGAGCTCAGGCCACGTCATCATCCAGCACCTGGGGGAAGAAGCAGGGGGGTCAGAGCCCCATTGGAGCTCCCCCTGCCCCATAGCCCCCCATAGGAAGCACCCTCTGCCCCATAGGACCCCATTGGGATGCCCCCTGCCCCACAGAACCCCAGTGGAGCCCTCCTCTGCCCCATAGCCCCCATAGGGAGCTCCCCCTGCCCCATAACCCCCCACAGGGAGCCCCCCATCCCCATAACTCCCCATAGGGAGCCCCCCTGCCTCATAACCCTCCATAGGGAACCCCCCTTCCCCATAGTCCCCTGTAGGCACCCCCCTGCCTAATAAGTGCCTATATGGAGCCCCCGTCTGCCCCATAAGCCCCCACAGGGACCCCCCCACACCCCATAACCCCCATAGGAAGCCCCGCCCCACCCCATAGTCCCCCACATGGAGCCTCCCTGCCCCATAGGACCCCGGCGCTCACCAGGGGGGCCCGGGGCACCCCCAGCGGCTCCTCCTCCTCCTCCTGGTGCCCGGCCTTGCGGAACACGGGGTTGCTGAAGCTGATGCTCTGGGTGCTGCGGCGCCGCCACCAGCGCCAGAGCCCGCGGGCAGCGGCACCCACCAGCACCAGCACCGCTGCGGGGGGGGCAGAGTCAGCGGGGGCCCCATTGGCACCCATTGGGTAACCCCATGGGGACACCCCATAAGGGACCATGGGGGCCCCCCCATAAGGGACAATGGGGACCCCCCCCATAAGGGACAATGGGGACCCTCCCCATAAGGGACAGTGGGGACCCCCCCATAAGGGACCATCGGGACCCTCCCATAAGGGACAATGGGGACACCCCCCATAAGAGACAATGGGGACCCCACCATAAGGGACCATGGTCCCCCCCCATAAGGGACAATGGGGACCCACCCATAAGGGACAATGGGAACCCCACCATAAGGGACAATGGGAACCCCACCATAAGAGACCATGGGCCCCCCCTCCAAGGGACAATGGGGACCCACCCATAAGGGACCATGGGGACCTCCCCCCCATAAGGGACCACTGGGACACCCCCCGCATAAGGGACAATGGGGACCCCTCCCCTCCATAAGGGACAATGGGGACCCCCCCACAAACGTACCCAGTGGCAGCATCACCGCGAGCGCCGTCAAGGCTGTTCTGCTGCCCACGGGACCCACGGCACCGCCACGGCTGCCTGGGGGAGAAGGGAAGAGGGGTGGGTGTGGGGCTAGGCTATGGGGCTGGGTTATGAGGCTGGGCTATGGGGCTGGGTTATGAGGCTGGGCTATGGGGCCGGTACCTGCGGTGGCGTTGCCAGATGTGCCGGTGCTGTTGGGGGTTCCAGGGGTGACAGTGCTGGTTGTGGGCTCCAGGACCCCCTCATGGCCGCTGGGGGGGGGCTGTGGGAGGGCCACGTCCAGAGGGGCCAAGGGGGCTGCAGGGAGGGGTACAGGGGTCAGGAGGGGGAATGGGAATGGGGATAGAGATGGGATGGAAACAGGGACATAGGGACACAGGATGAACATGGGATGGACGTGGGACAGACATGGAAGGACACAGATGGACATGGATGAACACAGGATGGACATGGATGAACATGGGATGGACATGGATGAACATGGGATGGACATGGATGGACACAGATGGACACGGATGGACACAGATGGACACGGATGGACACAGATGGACATGGATGGACCCGGTACCTGTGGGCTGCCGCAGGGGATGCACCAGCACCAATCCCTGCACCGGGAACCGCTCCTGAAGCAGCCGCTGTGGCCCCGGCTCCGAGCGGAGCCCGAGCGCGAACACGGCCCCGAGCTGGGAATCGCTCCAGTAAATCCACTCCTGCAGGAATGGGAATGGGAATGGGGATAGGAATGGGGATAGGAATGGGGATGGGAATGGGGATGGGAATGGGGATGGGAATGGGGATGGGAATGGGGATGGGAATGGGGATGGGAATAGGGATGGGAATAGGGATGGGAATGGGGATGGGAATGGGGATAGGAATGGGGATGGGAATGGGGATGGGAATGGGGATAGGAATGGGGATAGGAATAGGGATGGGGAATGGGGAATGGGGCACCCTGGAGGGCCCAGGGGGGCTCACCTCGAACACGGCGATGGCGAACGGCTGCACCAGCACTGCGGGGTCCATGAGCAGTGTCCGGCGCCGGCCCCCGTCCACGTCCACGCTGGAGAGGGCGTGGAGCCGTGCGTCCACCCAGAACAGGCGCCGGGAGGGCAGATCTGGGGCAGGGGAGACGTGAGGTGGGGATGCGATGGGGATAGGATGGGATGGGATGGGATGGGGATGGGATAGGGATGGGATGGGGATGGGATGGGGATGGGCACGGATGGGGAAGGGATGGGGATGGGATGGGATGGGGTTGGGGATGGGGACAGGATGGGGACGGGATGGGGATGGGCACGGATGGGGAAGGGATGGGGATGGGAATGGGATGGGGACAGGATGGGGATGGGATGGGATGAGATGGGGATGGGCATGGATGGGGATGGGGACAGAATGGGGATGGGATGCGATGAGGATGGGGACAGGATGGGGATGGGATGGGATGAGATGGGGATGGGCATGGATGGGGAAGGGATGGGGATGGGGACAGAATGGGGATGGGATGCGATGAGGATGGGGACAGGATGGGGATGGGATGGGATGGGGATGGGCACAGGGAATGGATGGGGATGGGGATAGGATGGGAACAGGATGGGGATGGGATGTGATGGGAATGGGGACAGGGTGGGGATGGGATGGGATGGGGATGGGATAGGGAGAGGATGGGGATGGGGAAGGGATGGGGATGGGACCAAGGCAGCACCAGCACTCACCCAGGGTGATCCCGTTTGGCCACTCCACATCCTCGGTCACCAGTGGTGCCGCATCAGAGCCATCGAGGCGGCTCCGAGCGATCTTGGCGCTGGCTCCCCAGTCGGTCCAGTACAGGAACCTGGGGGGGGGGGCAGAGCCGTCAACCCCCATCTCCCTGTGCCCTCCCCATCTGCTCCCCCCCCCCCTCCCATGCCCCCCGTACCCCTGCAGCGGGTCCACGGCGATGCCGCAGGGTTTGGCTCCCTCCTCCTGCAGCAGCGTCCGGCTCCAGGCGCCGCTGGCATCCGCCACGGACACGGAGCCGAGGCCGGAGTCGGTCCAGTAAAGGAGGTGATGGAGCCAATCCACAGCAATGGCGTCCGGGGTCCCCGAGCCCAGCTCCACCACCGGGACCTGCTGGGGGGGATTGGCTGTGCCGGCCAGTGGAGACCTGCGGGAGGGGATGGGTGGGATTTGGATGGGATGGGATGGGGATGGGGATAGGGATGGGGATGGGATGGGATGGGGATGGGAGGGGGATGGGAATGGGATAGGGACGGGATTGGATGGGATGCAGTGGGATCAGATGGGATGGGGTGGGGAACGGGTGGAATGGGATGCAGTAGGATGGGATGGGAATGGGAATGGCATTGGGATGGGGATGGGATAGGGATGGGGATGGGTTTGGGATGGGATGGAGATGGGAATGGGATTCAATGGGATCAGATGGAATGGGATAGGGATGGGGATGGCACTGGGATAGGGATGGGGATGGGTTTGGTATGGGGATGAGATGGGATGGGATGCAGTGGGATCAGATGGGATGGGGAAGGGGTGGAATGGGATGCAGTAAGATGGGATGGGATGGGGATGGGATGGGATAGGATGGGAATGGCATTGGGATGTGTTTGGTATGGGGATGGGATGGCAATGGGGATAGGATTCAGTGGGATCGGATGGGATGGGGATGGGATGGGATTCAGTGGGATGGGTTTGGGATGGGTTTGGGATGGGATGTGGGTCCCGGGGGGTGCTCACCGGTAGATGCGCCCCCGGCTGAGGTCGGCCCAGAACACGGAGCCGTTTCCCACGTGCACGTCCAGGGCCCCGAGGTGCTTGAGCGGCCCCAGCAGCCGCCGGTACCCGGCGCCGTCCAGCGCCACCTCCCGCAGCTCGTGGCGCAGCGAGAACAGCAGCGCGGGGGGCGGCCCTGCGGGAGCCGGGGGTGAGCAGCGCCGCCCCGTGGACGCAAATGGAACTGCAGCGCTGTAAACGCGGCGCCGCCCCGTGGACACGAATGGAACTGCAGCAACCCCCCCCCCACGGACACCCCAACCCACCATGGGCACCCCATGGAAGCGGAGCGCCAGGCACCCACAGCGTCCCCCATGGACCCTCCCCAGCACCAGACTTGGGGTGAAGGCCGATGAATTGGGCTCATGGGGGGGGGGGGGCGGGTCGGGCCTCACCGAGCGCGCGGCAGGCGTTGGTGCCGGGGTCCAGCCTGTAGCCACCCCCGCAGTCGCACTTGTAGGAGCCCGGGAGGTTGTGGCACTGCTGGCTGCAGGCGGTCGGGTCCTGGCACTCGTCAATGTCTGCAGGGGGGGTGGGAACAACGGGGGTCGGGGGCAGCCCATAGGGGGTCCCATGGATGGGAGTTGGGGGGGTCCCATAATGGGGTTCGGGGGGGGGGGGGTCAGCACTCACCGAGGCAGCTCCGTCCATCGGGCCCCAACCGGAAGCCGTCGGGGCACAGGCACTCGTAGCCCAGGGGCAGGTCCCGGCACACGTGGGAGCAGCCGCCGCCGTCCAGGCACTCATTGACCCCTATGGGAGGGGGGGAATGGAGCCCAAATGGGGGTGTGGGTTAGGGGGAGGACGCCCAGACCCGACCCTCCCCCAACGTGGTCCCTCATTGTGGGGGCGTCCCGGCCCTACCGCACTCCTTGAGGGGCTCATCCGACCAATCCCGGCAGTCGCGGCGGTGATCGCAGACGCGCTCCATGGGGATGCACTCACCGGAGCGGCACCGGAACCCAGCACAGGCGGTCACTGCGGGTGGACACACACAGGGGGTGTCAGAGCCCCCCCCCATGGGACCCCCAACTCCTCCCCATGGCGCCCCCCCCGCGCTCACTGTTCCTGCACTCGGCCTCGTCGCTGCCGTTGGCGCAGTCCGTTTCGCCGTCGCAGCGCCGCAGCCTCGGGACGCAGCGCCCGTCCCCGCAGCTGAACTGGTCCGGGCGGCACGAGACGGCGGCTGTGGGGGGGCACGGGGGGGGTCAGAGCCGGCCGGTGCCCCCCAGCTGATCTGCACCCCATGAGGGACCCACACACACACACTCAACCTGCACCCCAAAACTTGTGCCCAGTCCCAAATGTGCACCAGGGATTGGGGGGGGGACGGGGACGGGGAGGAATTGGGGTGATGATGGGGGTCAGTGGGGTACAGGGGGTCAAGGGGGTGCAGATGGGATCAATAGGGTGCAGATGGAATCAGTGGGGTGCCAATGGGTCTCAGAGGGGTGAACATGGTGCTCAATGGGGTGCAGGGATCTCAATAGGGTGCAGGGGTCCTAGTGGGGCGCAAATGGTGCTCAGTGGGGTGCAGGGGTCTCGGTGGGGTGCAGGGGTCTCAATGGGGCGCACATGGTGCTCAATGGGGTGCACATGGGCTCAATGGGGTGCAGGGGTCTCAATGGGGTGCACATGGTGCTCAGTGGGGTGTAGGGTCTCAATGGGGCTCACATGGTGCTCAATGGGGTGCTGATGAGGATCAACAGGGTGCAGAGGTCTCAGTGGGGCGCACATGGTGCTCAATGGGGTGCAGATGGGCTCAGTGGGGCGCAGGGGTCTCACTGGGGCACACATGGTGCTCAATGGGGTGCAGATGGGCTCAGTGGGGCGCAGGGGTCTCAGTGGGGCGCACATGGTGCTCAATGGGGTGCAGATGGGCTCAGTGGGGCGCAGGGGTCTCAGTGGGGCGCACATGGTGCTCAATGGGGTGCAGATGGGCTCAGTGGGGCGCAGGGGTCTCACTGGGGCGCACATGGTGCTCAATGGGGTGCAGATGGGCTCAGTGGGGAGCAGGGGTCTCAGTGGGGCACACATGGTGCTCAATGGGGTGCAGATGGGCTCAGTGGGGCGCAGGGGTCTCACTGGGGCGCACATGGTGCTCAATAGGGTGCAGATGGGCTCAGTGGGGCACAGGGGTCTCAGTGGGGTGCAGATGGGCTCACTGGGGCGCACATGGTGCTCAATGGGGTGCAGATGGGCTCAGTGGGGCACAGGGGGCTCAGTGGGGCACAGGGGTCTCAGTGGGGTGCAGATGGGCTCAATGGGGCGCACATGGTGCTCAGTGTGGGTCCGAGGGGGGTGTTCGCGCACCGCATCCGCGCTCGTCGGCGCCGTCGGCGCAGTCCTCGGTGCCGTCGCAGCGCCAGCGCCGGGGCACGCAGCGCCCGGAGCCACAGCGCAGCTGCAGGGGGGAGCAGGCGCGGGGGGCGCGGGGGGGGCCGCAGCTCGGGGCCGCCTCGTCCGAGCCGTCGGGGCAGTCGCGGTCCCCGTCGCAGGCCCAGAGCCGGGGCACGCAGGAGCCGTCGAGGCAGCGGAAGGCGTCGGCGCCGCAGGGGGGCGCTGGGGGGCACCCGGCCTCGTCCGCGCCGTCCTCGCAGTCGCGGTCCCCGTCGCAGGCGAAGGCGCGGGAGACGCAGGAGCCGCTCCCGCAGCGGAGCTGATCCGGGCCGCAGGAGCGGGGCGCTGCGGGGCACGGGTCAGTGGGGGGGCACGACGGGGGCTATGGGGGTTATGAGGAGCTATGGGGAGTTATGGGGGGGTTATGGGGCTATAGGGGCTATGAGGGGTTATGGGGAGTTCTGGGGAGTTATGGGGGGGGATGGGGGCTATGGGGTGGTATGGGTGCTATGTGGGCTATGGAGGCTATGGAGGGTTATGGGGGCTGTGTGGGTTATGGGGGCTTTGGGGGGCTATGGGGGCTATGGGGGTTGGGGGGGGCTATGGAGATTATTGGGGGCTATGGGGATTATGGGGCTATGGGGGTTATTTGGGTTATGGGGGCTATGGAGGTTATGGGGGGCTATGGGGGTTATTGAGACTATGGAGGTTATGGGGGGCTATGGGGGTTATTGGGACTATGGAGGTTATGGGGGGCTATGGGGGTTATTGGGACTATGGAGGTTATGGGGGGCTATGGGGCACTCACAGCACTGCAGCTCGTCGGAGCCGTCCTCACAGTCGTGGTGCCCATCGCAGCGCCAGAGCAGGGGAACGCAGCGACCCCGGAGTCCCCCGCAGCTGAACTCGGATGGGGAGCAGGACACGGAGCCTGGGGCACGGCACAGGGTGCATGGCACACACAGGACACGCATGGTACACACATGGTACACAGAGGACACATGGCACACACAGGACACATGGCACACACAGGACACGCATGGTACACACATGGCACACACAGGACACATGGCACACACAGGACACACATGGCACACACATGGCACACACAGGACACATGGCACACACATGACACATGGCACACACATGACACATGGCACACACATGGTACACACAGGACACATGGCACACACATGACACACATGATACACAGCATACAGAACACAGTACATGGCACGTGGTATGTGGTACATAGTACAAGGCACATGGCACACACAACACATGATACACAGCACACACATGACACACAACACATAGCACACACATGACAAACACATAGCACACCACACACACATGACACATAGCACACACATGAGACACAGATGAGACACACAACACACAGCACACACATGACACACACGGCACATAGCACACACATGGCACACAGCACACACATGTGACACATGGCACACACAACACATACATGACACATACCACACACGTGACACACACGTGACACACACGTGACACACGGCCCACGGGCACTCACTGCAGCTCTCGGCGGTCTCGTCGGAGCCGTCCCGGCACTCGGCGCTGCCGTCGCACACCCAGGAGCGGGCGATGCAGGAACCGTCCCCGCACCGGAACTGCCTCCGGCCGCACTCCCCGGGGCCTGCGGGCAGCCCGGTCAGACCAAAAACCCCCCCTCCCCGGTACCGGACTCAGCCCAACCCCCCCCCCGGTACCGGGCTCAGCCCAACCCCCCCCGGTACCGGGATCACCCCAACCCCCCCCCCCCGGTACCGGGACTTTGCCACGGGAGGGGCTGGGTGTGACCGGATGACCTGAGGCGACCTTTGCCCCCGGTGACCCTGTCGTGGACCCTGGGTGCGGCCCGGGGATGGAGCTGATCCCTGGATCCAATTCCCAGGATTTTCTGCCGCATTCCCAGGTTTTCCATCCCCATTTCCGGGTTTTCCATCCCCATTCCCAGTTTTTCTGCCCCATTCCCTTTTTTTCTGCCTCATTCCCGGTTTTCCAGCCTCATTCCCGTTTTTTCTGCCCCATTCCCGGTTTTCCAACCCCATTCCCGGTTTTGCTGCCCCATTCCGTTTTTTCTGCCTCATTCCCGGTTTTCCATCCCCATTCCCGTTTTTTCTGCCCCATTCCCGGTTTTCCAGCCCCATTCCCGGTTTTTCTGCCCCATTCCCGGTTTTCCAGCCCCATTCCCGGTTTTTCTGCCCCATTCCCGGTTTTCCACCCCCGTTCCAAGGGGTCCCAGCCCCATTCCCGGTTTTCCAGCCCCATTCCCGTTTTTTCTGCCCCATTCCCGGTTTTCCAGCCCCATTCCCGGTTTTCCAGCCCCGTTCCAAGGGGTCCCAGCCCCATTCCCGGCGCCGGCCACACCCGCAGCCCCCGTTGGGCGTGGCCACCCCTCGCCCTGCCGGGCGCGCCGCTCTCTCATTGGCCAGCGGGGGTTTCCCCGCCGGGTGGCCAGTCCGCGCTCCCGCCAATCAAAAGCGCGTCCGCCGCAGGGCGGGGCGTTGCGCGGACTGTGATTGGCCCTTGGCGGCGCCGCGGGGGGGGGACGGGCGGGACGGCGCTTCCTTATCCCCGCCCACCAGCCCCGCCCTCCGCCCGCGACCATGGGGGGGGGGTCCCGGTGAACGACGCCGGTTCCCCCCCTCCCCCCCCCACCCCCGTCCTCCCCCCTCCCCCACGCGGACCCCGGGGGGGGGGGGGATGGGGACGGACCCCGTTGGGGGGGGGGGGCGGGGTCAGACCTCGTGGCGGGGCCGAGCCCCGGTGTGTCCGGATGCCCCCGGTTCCCCCCCCAGCAGCGGGACCCCCCGTTACCTGCTCCCGGTGCCGCCGCCGCCGCCGCCGCCCCGAGCAGGAGCAGCCGCAGCAGCGCGGCCGCCGCCGGCCCCATCCCGGAGCCGCGGTGGCGCTGGGCGGGGGCCGCTGCCGGTGCCGGTGCCGGGGCCCGGAGCAGGATCGCCCCCCCACCTGCTCCGGCATCCCCCAGCCCCTTCATTGACCCCCATTGAGTCCCCATAGACCCCCCCCCAGCCCCTTCATTGACCCCCATTGAGTCCCCATAGACCCCCCCCAGCCCCTTCATTGACCCCCATTGAGTCCCCATAGACCCCCCCTAGCCCCTTCATTGACCCCCATTGAGTCCCCATAGAACCCCTATAGACCCCCCCCAGCCCCTTCATTGACCCCCACTGAGTCCCCATAGAACCCCCATAGACCCCCAGCCCCTTCAGACCCCCATAGTCCCCATAGAACCCCCATAGACCCCCATAGTGCCCCATAGACCCCCCATAGGCCCTCATAGCCCCCCATAGAACCCCCATAGACCCCCCCCAGCCCCTTCATAGATCCCCATTGAGTCCCCATAGAACCTCCCCAGCCCCCTCACAGATCCCCATTGAGCTCCCATGGACCCCCCAAAGACCCCCTCATAGGCCTCCATTGAATCCCCATAGACCCTCCCCAAACACCCCCCCCAGCCCCCTCACAGACCCCCACTGAGCACCACAGAACCCCCATGGATCGCCCCCAAGCCCCATCAATTGCACTGATTTCCTCTTCGCTTCCTTTATTACTGTTCAAAATCCAGTGACAGCGACAGGCGCCGGCTGGGGGGGCACCATGGGGGGGACACCATGGGGAGCACCATGGGGGGAGGGCACTCGGCTGTATAAATATGGAGGTTTTATACAGGGCGCAGCTGCGACCCCGGGGCTGGGAGCGCTCCCGGGGTGGGGGGGGGGGATGTGGGGCTGGGGGTGGGGTGGAGACACAGGACATGGACGGCGCCAGGGCCTTGGAATGTGGGTCCGGGCTCCGCCGGGGGCCTTAGTCCTCGTCGGTGCCGCTGCCGGAGCGATCCTGCGGGAAGGGGGGGCTCAGCAATGGGGATGGGGGGGGAGGTTGTGGGGCAGGAGGAGGCAGGTGTGGGGCAGGAGGTGGTTGCTGGGCAGGAGGCTGTTGTTGGGCAGGACAAAGCGGTTGTGGGGCAGGAGGATATGTTTATGGGGCAGGAGGCGGTTGTGGGGCTGGAGGATGTGGTTGTGGGGCAGGAGGAGGTGGTTAAGGGGCAGGAGGAGGCGGTTAAGGGGCAGGAGGAGGCAGTTGTGGGGCAGGAGGAGGAGGCGGTTGTGGGGCAGGAGGATGTGGTTGTGGGGCAGGAGGAGGTGGTTAAGGGGCAGGAGGAGGCGGTTAAGGGGCAGGAGGAGGCAGTTGTGGGGCAGGAGGAGGAGGCGGTTGTGGGGCAGGAGGCGGTTGTGGGGCAGGAGGCGGTTGTGGGGCAGGAGGCGGTTGTGGGGCTCCTTTACCTCCTCCTGCTCCTCGTCGCTGTCGTCGTCGCTCACCACGGGCTTGGCGCGGGCGCTGCGGCTCGTGCGCCGCCGGCCTTTACCACGCTCCGGCGCCTTCTCCTTGCGGCCCAGCTTGATCTTCACCTTCACCGAGCGCGCTGCGGGCGCAGGGCGAGGATGAGGATGAGGATGGGGGGGCAGGGGGGGGGGCTGGGGTGTCCCCATGGGGCCACTCACACTCGGACTCGGAGCCTTCCTCTTCGCCGTCCTCCTCCTCGTCGCTGTCGTCGCCATCGCTCTCCTCCTCCTTCTCGATCTTCTGCCGCACGCTGGTGAACACCGACTGCAGCACGATGGAGTCCTCGTAGATCTGGGGGGGGGGGAGGAAGGAGCCGGTGGGCATGGGACAGAGCCAGCACGGCCGCGGTGGTGCCGGTGCCGGGCCCGGGTGCCCCAATCCCCCCTCACCAGTGAGCCCTCGAGGTTGAAGGTCTGCGCATTCTGGCACAGCAGCATCACGTCCTTCTCCAGGTCGTTGAGGCTCCGGTACTTGTGGTTGCGGATCCGCTCCTGCCGGAGGGGAAGGGGTCACGCTCTTGGCCAGCGCCAATGGTTGCAACCCAATGGCAATGGGCACAACCCAACGCCAATGGGCGCAATCAAATGCCAACAGGCACAACCCAATGCCAACGGGCACAACCGAACATCAATGGGCACAACCCAACAGCAACAGGCACAACCCAGTGGCAACGGGCGCAACCCAACCACAATGGGCACAACCCAAAGCCAATGGGCGCAATCAAATGCCAACAGGCACAACCCAATGCCAACGGGTACAACCCAACATCAATGGGCACAACCCAACATCAATGGGCACAACCCAACCGCAACGGGCACAACCCAGTGGCAACGGGCGCAACCCAACCACAATGGGCACAACCCAACCACAATGGGCAGAACCTCACACCGTGGTTTGCCTGCACCCAACACAAGTCACCACAGCCGCATCCATTGGCCCCCAGGACCGCTGGTGCCGGCGCAGTGCAGCCGTTACCTTGATCTTCTTGAAGTCCACAGGCTTGCGGATGAGCTCATAGTACTCGGGCAGCTCCTTGCGGGACGGCAGCTGGATGAAGACTTCACTGAGCTGCCGTCCACTGCTGCTGCAAAGAGACACCGCGTGGCACCGCCAGCACCGGCCCCACCGTGACGCCCCACGCCGGCCACTGCCGCCATGACCGGGCCCATGCGGTGCCTCCTACCTGTCCTTGTACTTGATGACGGCATCCACGATCTTCTTCATCTTCTTGGTGAGGTTTGGGGGGTTCGGTGAGAGCTTCTCCGCCGGCGGCCGCCCACGCTTCTTCTGCTTCTTGCTCTCCTCGTCCTTGTCGCGGCTGCGGGTGCTGGCGGTGCCGGCTGCAGCGGCGGCGCTGGAGCCCACGTCCGGGTCCCGCTTCCGCTTCCGGGAGGACTTCTTCTGGCGAACCTCCTCCTCGATCTCCTCCAGCGTCCCCTCCTCGATGGCCTGCGCGGGACGGGGCCGCTAGCGCGGGGCTGCCGCCGAGCCCCCCAGGCCCAACCGTGACGGCTGCAGTCCCTGCCCTGGGGGCGGCCATGAAGGTCCCTCGCAGGGGGGGGATCATTATGGGATGGGGAGAAAGGAGCCAGCAACAAGAGGCTTCTGGAGCAACCACCACAACTCCCTGCTCCTGCTCAGGGCAGCCCCTGGTTACGGCAGAGCCCCGTCCCTGGTTATGGCCCAGCTCCATGCCTGGCTATAGCAGAGCCCCATGCCTGGCTATGGCACATCTTTGTGCCAGGCAATGGCACACAGCTCCATGCCTGGCTACGGTGCAGCTCCGTGCCTGGGCATGGCACAGCCCTGTGCCTGGCTGTGGCACACATCTGCATGCCTAGTGATGGCACAGCCCTGTGCCTGACTATGGCATATATCTCTCTGCCTGGCTATGGCACACATTTCCACGCCTGGCTATGGCCCAGCTCTGTGCCGCAGCACCACGGGCACAGTGTTTGCCAGGCTAGGTTTTGGTGAGGTCCCCGGCCCAGGGCGCTGGTCCCGGGGGCCGCGGCGGTGAGAAGCCATTGCAGAACGATGCTGTACCATGTATACCTTGAGCCACTGCTTCTCCGTCAGCGAGTCGCTGTAATCGACCTCCTTGCGGTGCCGCGAGCCGCGGCCGAACATCTTCTCCTCCTCCTCCTCGCAGGTCAAGCGCTCGACCTCGGCGTCGTCCTTGATGATCCAGGAGGGAAGCTCGTCCTCCTCCATCAGCCGCGGCTTGCGCTTGGGGTTCCGGGCCTCCTCGCGCCGCCGGTCCAGGTCCATGCGCTGCAACGAGAGGGCTCTGCCCTTGGAGCGTCCCCGCGGTGCTGCAGGAGCCAAGGGGCACCCAGGGGATGCGGTGACACCGGGCTGGGGACGCCACCTGCAGCCAGGGGCGAGGGGCTGGGGGTGTTTTGGTGGATGCGGTGGGAGGCGATGGCTCCGCTCTGCACCAGCTTCACCATCGGGCATGGCCACCCTCGCTAAGGCATTGCCCAACGGAGGCTCCACGTTGGGCTCTCTCCGTTCCAAGCTTTTCCTCCTCGTTCCATGCTCCTCGTCCCACCAAGAGGGACAATTTTAGGTGGGAAACCGGCTTTTAGGCTGTGGTGCAGCCTCAGCTCCTCCTCCCCACAGTCCCTTCCTCCGGCTTCCCATCCCAGGAGCTCATCCCTCACCGGAGCCGGGATCCTCCTGGCTTGGGCCCTGCTCTCTGCTTTGGCTTTACCTGCTGCTTCCTGGCTCCCAGGCAGGGGATGCTCACAGAGAGGCTGCTCTGGCCGCTACCTGGGGGGGGGGACTGCAGGCATCATCCCGCACCTCCACCTGCTCCACGCTCACCATGAAGAGGTCGAACTCCTCCTCGTGCCGGGCAATCATCTGGTTGACAGTCTCATCGTCAGGGACTTCATCTTCCTCCTGCCAGGGATGGAGACGGCGGCGGCTGAGGGCGAGCGCCGGCTCGTCCGCGGCATCGCTCGGAGCTCGGCCCCGGGGCAGCGCTAGCACCCGACGCGTGGGGCCATGGTTGGGGTGGGGGGGCTGTGTGTGGTGTCTGCTGCGCCCTGCATTGATCTCTTATGGGGGGGGTGTTTCTCTTTCTGGGGCTGGGGGGGGGTCTCAATTGGTCTCTCTACGTTCTCCGCGGTGCAAAGAGCACCGGCGGGAGCTGGCAACGTGCGGTGGCCGAGTCAGCAGCGAGGCCGAGGATTGAATGGGCGTGGAGACTGAGCAACCCCCTCTCACCTTTAGAGGTGGTTCCTCCAACTCAGCGGTCAGGCACAGGGTGGAGGCAGTGTGGGGGAAGCTGCCACTGCCGCTGCCCGCGCTGTATCTGCTCTGTGGATAAAAGGAGGACTTCAGTCTCCAGGGCTGTCAATCCGGCGCCTCTCACCGACGCGACACAGAAAAACCCCTTTGCTACTGCTAGGACCAGGCAGGGGGGCGTGAAAGGGCTCGGGTTGGAAGGGACCTTAAGGCTCAGCTTGTTCCAACCCTCACGCTGGAGCTGCCTGCCCCGAGCCCCGTGGTCCGACCTGGCCTCGAGCGCTGCCAGGGATGGGGCAGCCGCAGCTTCTCTGAGCCTGAG